AATCTGGAAATTTGATATTTGGGGCTGGAGAGATGGCTCAGTGCTTAATGGTTCAGAGCATTAAATGATCTTGTAATGAACTGGGATTCAGTTCCCAGCATCCCCATGGTGGCTAACAAGCATCCTTACCTCCAGTTCCAGGGGATCTGATGTCCTCTTCTTGCCTCCATGGGCATTGCAAAGCACAGACACATGTACATACAGGTAAAACATTCATACACACAAACTTAATTAATTAATTAAAAAATAAAATTTATATTCCTCTTTCAATAGTAGAAATAAAATTTGGCAGATCCATTACAATATACAAGGACAGAATTGAGACTACAAAGAAACCCAAACAGAAACCATCTTTGGAACACACCACTCCAAAATGCAGACTGTACATTCTTCTTAAATGCATAAGGACTGCTGATATTTAGCTAAATCCCCAAGACAGCCAAGCTTCCTTCTAAACATTTATGATTATTCCTTTAGACCAATGATACTCCCAGCCTTAAGCAGAGAAGCCTCTCTTTTCAATGGTAGAGGTGAATGCTGAAATGCGCAGCTTCTCGGGGTGCTACTTAGTAATGGTTAAGGACTCTGCCCAAAACAGAACTTAAAACTACCACCTACAATACTCAGGATCACTGCAGAAGAGTGAGTGGAAAGGATGAAAGAGTCAGAGGATGAGGAAGAAGAGCTGTGAAATGTCAACTTTTGGGCTCTGGAGAGTCAATGCAGCCATGCCTCTATAGCAGCAGTTTGTGCTTGCAATGAGCACACACATTACTAGTCCCAACAATAGCCAATCATAGACTGGGGAGGGGACCCCAGGGCCCTACTATTTGTTGCTTATGTACTGACTACTGATGGATTCTGGGAGAGCAGCAGTCATTTCCTAATTTGTGTACCTACTTAGATGCACAACAGGCTCCAAACTCATCGTCACACTGATGATCCTGGTTAAACAAAGTGTGTCTAAAAAAAAACATAAGAAACATGGAAGCTTGATGTGTGTAGATATGAATTTTGAAAGAAAATTGTAGGGAAGAAGGGGATATTTTAGGGGTGGGAGGTTAGAGAGGATATAGGGTTACCCTAATCAGAACGTATTTTATATGTATA